GCCAGGAGCATAATAGTTGCTCAATAGTGAGCAACTATTTTGCTTCTGTCGTTATCACCTGTAAATAAAACTAAATGTCATAACGTGAATCCCGTGGAAGCACTCTTTCAGTTCTCGGTTCACCCCCATTTGGGGACAACTTCCTGTACTGTAACTTCCTGTTCCTGTGAAACTAGGAACTACATTTCCCAGACTTCTTTACTCTTAGGGTCTGGAGGCCAGATGGGTTCCACCAGTTAGAGACAATCACTTTAGATCTGAAAGACGGAAGGAGGTGGAGGCCATCTGCCCGCTGCTCTTTCTTTTGGAAATTCACTATATTAAGGGGAGGTCTCGGGTGGGGGCGGGGGGCAGTGGTGGAAGCAGCTGCTTGATCTCCAGATCCCGGCTGCAATGGTTCTCTCTTGACGCCAACAAGTGGTGGCTCCTGATTTCCCCTCCCCCCGTCCTGCCAGAGACTTTGTAAGCATCTAATTCCTGTATTAAACCCCATCCTACGGTGATGATTCCTGTTTCCACAACTGAATCCTGACTTGCTTAGAAGTGGATGTTTCATCTAAAGAAATCTCGTATGTAAACTCCTGTGAAAGACTTTGTTTTGTGCTGCTGCCTCAAAATGGCTTAGGTTCAAGTCATGAGTTAATTGCCATGTTTAAAGCAGCTCAATGTTCTTCTCGATGCCGATGCCGTTCCCTTTGAGAACTGTTAACATTAAACAATTAAAGTGTTCTGGGATCTTGAACGGTTAACTCCAAATATCACATTGAAAGGCAGAGTATAGTTTTGTAACGATTATAACCCATCCGTTATCTTTCTTTATACTTTATTTGGTTGAAAGGAAAATGGTCCCTGAAATAATTTTGCCTCCTAATAGCCATTCTTCCTTCCTGTCTTAGTATCAAGAACCCCAATGTTTAGCCAGGGACTCTACTACCCAGCTGAAATTCATTCCCATTGTCTCTTAAAGCCAGGCATAGGCATATGAGTAAATTTCAGCCAGTTAGATAGAAGAAAAAGTATTTTGTGTAACTTCTAAAAAGTGTCTGTAGAAGGAGGGTATGGGGCACCTGGGTGGCTCAGTCGGTTATACTTCCAATTTTGGCACGGATCATGATCTCACGGTTCATGGGTTCGAGTCCTGCGTCAGGCTCTGTGCTGAAGCTCAAACCTGGAGGCTGTTTCAGATTCTGTGTCTCCATCTCTCTCTGCCCCTCCCCTGCTCTCTCTCTCTCTCTCTCTCTCTCTCTCAAAAACAAATAAACATTGAAAATTTTTTTTTAAAAAAAAGAGAGTATACACCTTCCTTTGCCCCTTACTCCTTCCTGTTGGCTGGAGCATGAACATGATGACAGGAACATTAACAGCCATTTTGGGCCACGAGGTAGCGTAATAAGCATGTCAGAGTAGAACAGAACGAACCTGTTGCTTGCAGAGCTGTGATATAAGACTGCATCGTCTACCTCCAGATTTCTTTTACATCAGAAAAAAAAATCTCAAACTTTACAAAATCACTGTTACTTGGTCTCTGCTTTGTTACTACATGCAGCGAAGCCTATCCCTAATTAATAGAAGAGGAACAGCCAAACTTCTCTTCCTATCAACCATGGACTATTTCTCCATTTCTAAAAACAAGTGCGTTCTCAAAAGCTGCCTGACTACTGAAACACAGTAGGGCATGCCGCCAAAAATGTTGATCTGGGTTTAGAATTAAAGATAGAAAACGATTTCCGTGAGGCCAGTTCAGCGCACACAGCAACGAAGTTTGCAAGCCAGATGAATAGCTCTGACTTACTCCTATCGCTTCCAGAATCAAACCAAGGCACCAATTTTAGGTTGCGTTAAAGGCAAGTCCTCAAGCCTGGCTGATGGTCCGCTAAGGCTAGAGTCATTGATTCCGAGTGGCTGAGTTCCATATTAAACTGGCTCTCTGTCGTTCATAATGTGACCACACCACAGCTGACAGCACATCCAGTGGTATAATCCGCTTTGCAGCTCTCTGTTCCAGAGCCCATAGATCAGGGGGTTAAGACACTGTGCAAATGCAAAGACTCCAAAAAGTACCAGGTTTAAAGCAAAGAAAAACACCCCACACATCTTTCCCAAACCTATGAATATCAGGATTGGTATTACATGCAAACTCATCTGCACTAAATGAATAAGGACTGTTTTTTTTGCTTTGATATTTGATCTATTAAAATGGCCAGCCCGTTTGCCTTCTCGGTAGATCAGAAAGTAACTTATAAGAATGATGGACAGAAGAAAGAAAAGGAAAACCATGCCAACGGCTCTGGCAGGAGGGCCATTCAAGATCACAGGGCACAGGGGTTCAGATTTAAAAACAGCAACTCGAGGGGGGTTAGCGCTTTCTATGAGGAATAAGCAAACATTCTTGAATATAATGATTATCCAAGACGCAGCCAAGATCCTGTACTTAACTGAATCTACCAAGGACAGAGATTTCAAAGGCCAGCAAACAGCCAGGTAAGTGTTGACCGCCATCAAGGCCAGCGTAAAGAGGATCCCTTCTCCAACACTTAGCTGGACCCCAAATACCACCCAGCACACCAGCACGGGGCTGTTGGCCAGCAGAGCCCGCATCCCTTGGAAAACCACCCCGAGGCCACAGTAGGAGGAGATGCATAGCAGATGGTGGCACAGGAGGATGTGTCGGACCTCTCTCCTCAGCTTCGAATTCTGTAACACTATTGTGATGATGACGACGGTGACGAATGTGGCAAAGAAGAAGGCCACCACATACACAGAGGCCTTCACTGTTGCTTCCAGCCTCAGCCAGTCCGATATGTTGCAGTGGTCAGAAGACAAGTTCATGATCTTCAGGGCAACTTGGCTCCTGAGGGATTAAAGCACCAGAAAGAGTGAATCACAAAGCGTCTTGGGTGGTTTTCCAACTCTGTGACCTTGTAAATCTCAAGGAACACATTGCACGTTTTTTGGTACAGAGGATGAAAATTTTAGATGTATGGACATGAACCAAAGAAACTAGAGAAATCAGAGGCGGCTGGGTGGCTCAGTTGGTTGAGCGTCCTACTTCGGCTCAGGTCATGACCTTGCGGTCCGTGAGTTCGAGCCCCGCATCTGTGCTGACAGCTCGGAGCCTGGAGCCTGCTTCAGATTCTGTGTCTTTACCTCGCTCTCTGCCCCTCCCTCACTCATCCTCTGTCTCTCTCTGTCTCAGAAATAAATAAACATTTTAAAAAATTAAAAAAAAAAAAAAGAAACTAGAGAAATGATTTGGGGGTTTTCTCTTTATTTCAGGAGAGGGGCACATACTCAAACCATCCAAAAGGAAGGTCTGAAAGGTGGACTCTCAGTACTCAGCAAATTGCTCAAAATCAGGTCAAAGTTCCACCCTCTGTGCATCCTTTTCCATCTTTGATTGTGAGAACTTTTTCAACTTGGAGCCACAAAGCACAACAGTGTAAAACTCAGTTGATTAATCACCAAGCACTTGTTAACAGCACATGCAAAGGTCTGGGGAATGCATTAGGGCAAGAGCTGTAAAGGATGTGAGGAAGCTATTGATGCAGAGGCTGGAATTCATTTGGGTCCATAAGACATGACAAAGATATTAACAAAAATGATAGCAATCACCGGTGACATTTACCCAGTACTTTCTAGGGATCAAAACTGTTTTTAGAGCATATTGTTCTAACCCTGGGGTACGGTTTATGTTCCACCGAGTGGTTTTATTATGCACTTTTTTTGCAAATGGGGAAACAGACTTAAGGAGGCTAAGTAACCTACTCAGGGCCATATAGTTATTGGGGAGAGGGGCCACGATTTGAATTTCAGAGTACAACGCCAGCACCCATTCTCTCAACCACTACAAGGAAGTTCATGTCAAATGCAAGGTCACTTTAAAAAAAAGGGGGGGGGGCTGGGGGAGAAGGGTGCCTGGGCGGCTCAGTGGGTTAAATGTCAGACTCTTGATTTTAGCTCAGGTCCTGATCTTGTGGTGAGATCAAGCCCCACATCAGGCTCTGCATTGACAGCACAGAGCCTGCTTGGGATTCTCTCTCTCCCTCTCTCTCTACCCCTCCCCCAGTTGCTTGAGCCCTCTCTCTCTCTCTCTCTCTCTCTCTCTCTCAAAATAAATAAATAAACTTCAAAAGAAATCCAACGTCAAATGCAAGTTCTGAGTTCTTCTTGGGTCAATGTCATGTGACCAACCCAACTGGACCCCATTTGTAGAAATACCATTTCTGTGGTTCAGCTGGAAGACCATCCATCCAGGAAGGTGCTGGGACCTTAGGGTTATTGAGGAACTGTGGCCGCTGAAATGGTAAGATGTGTGTAATAGCCTCATGGAATCTTCTCACGCCTGCACAGCAGTGAACAGCCCACTGTGCCACAGCCTGGGGAACCCCCGAATTTCTGGGTCTCTGTCTCTGAAAGTCTATGGCAGAGACGCCAACTGTTGCCTCCTCGCTACTAGCTTTCCTTACTTCCCCACCACCTCAGTGTTTTGTGGAACTAGGGATAGCTATCTGACGCAGGGAGAATTATTCCGGAGACGGTGCTGAATCCACTGGTGTCTGCCTCTTAAACATCCAACTGCAAAGTCCTCACAGAGAATGTGGCCCAAGTATGATGTCATGTCATTGGCCTGCCAGTAATGGTGGAATGTGGGTGAGTGAAGAAAGTGACAGCGAGGGGCAAGAGGAGAGCGGAGGGAAAGACAAGGTCCCTGAGAGTCTACAAAGGCCCTCGCAAGACAAAGAGAACAGCATGGGCTCCCGGATTTCTTTTCTTTAAATGTTTATTTATTTATTGTTGAGAGAGAAAGTGGGGGAGGGGAAGAGAGAGAGGAAGACTGAGGATTCAAAGAAGGCTCCAAGCTCTGAGCTGACAGCAGAGAGCCCAACGTGGGGCTTGAACTCCAAGCAATGAACTCCAAGCTCATGACCTGAGCCAAAGTTGGACGTTTAACTAAGCCACCCAGGTGCCCCTGGGTTCCTGAATTTCTGATTCCATTGAGGTTGCTCTGCATTTTCTGTCCTCGGGTCCTAAAAATATAACACACCCCTCTATTATTTGAGCTAGCTTAAATGGGTTTCCATTCCCTTATATAAGCCCCTCGCGTGGTAAGTATATAAAGTAGACTTTAAAGAGGCACAGTATATTACACTGATTTCCTAAAGGGCACGTCGCCGTGGAGACAGCTACCGCAAGCTGCTGAGAATCTAAGATGCCACGGCTCCTTATGCAATCCCTGCCAAAGGCACCGTTTTCCCTCGCATATTGCATTGTCACCCTTTGTGGAGAATTTCCCCTGCTGGGATGGATTTTTGTGCCATTGCTGTGCGGTCAAACTCCAGGCATTTATTTCTCTACTCCCCGGCTCTCCAGAGGGGAATAGAAATTGTAATAGTCAGGGGAGCCTGAGTGGCTCAGTCCGTTGAGCACTGGACTTTGGCTCCGGTCATGATCTCGCAGTTTGTGAGTTCAAGACCCACATTGGGCTCTGTGTTGACAGCTCAGAGCCCGGGGCCTGCTTCAGATTCTGTGTGTGCGTCTCTCTCTGGTTCTCGCCCGTTCACGCTTGCGCTCTCTCTCTCAAAAATAAATAAACATTAAAAAAATGTCTTAATACAAAGAAATTGAAATGGTCATTGTCATTGTCAAACTCATCATCAAGCTTTCTTTTAGCTACAGCTTTTTCGGTCAAAATCTTACACCAGAACCCGTCAACGATCGATAGAAAAATGCATATCTGCCCGCATTAAATGCCTCCTCATCGCTCTCTCCCAGAGCACATTCTTGTAACTGTCCTCAGGGCACCACCACGGACACCGAGGGCTCCAGTGGAGATGGGGCAAAGTTAGAACACTCTACCCCACCAGGCGGAATCACAAGAACTGGGCTTTAAACCTAGGTCTGCTGCCAATGAGGAGTGGGGTTTTGGACACTAAAGTCATTTCCCTTCTCTGGTCCTTCGTTCCTGACATCACAGCCACATAGGATTGCAAACTCCACATCCTTTCTCTCTGTCCACAAGGTCATCTTCACTCATATCCACAGCAGCCAGCTCTTATCTGGGACTTTTCCTTATTTTTGAGACAAAATTGGCCCTGTCCTCGATGCAGAATGTCCTCATCTGATTCCCCATGGCTGAGCCTTGAATAGAATCACCAGCTCTCTAGGACAGGTCTAGACCCCTCCCAGGATCTAAAACCCAGCCTCCAAGTCCCAATATTAGGGGGGTCACTCCTACCAGGCTCTTCTACGGTCCGCCTAGGCCTCCCAACAATGCCCACTCCTGGGCTCATTGTTGCCGGGTTTGACCTAGCTAATGGGCTATGCACCCGCCCCCCCTTTATTCAATCTTGCTCTCACCCCTCATTCTGCCCAGAATCCTCGTCTTCTCTGTAGCTTCCCTATTGGATTCCTCATTTCTGCTCACCAGGACTACCTTGCACCTGCATTGCCCCCCATCAGCCCCTGCACACCTGTCTAGTTCACCTGATAGCACCTCCCCAATAGCAACAGGCGGGGCTTGGCCTAGCTGTGTTCTAAGACTTGAAACCCTACACAGAGCCTGAGTGACTCTCATTGTACTTCCTTTGGAAAAAAAATTGTACAACCTCTTTTTTTCCACCTGAATGACTGTAGCTGCAGCTATAATAAACCCCTCTCCCTCCAGATCTGATACGGTTTCAGGGAACTATTTACTATTGAGAGCAAGCAAGAACTAGTCTCTGTAGTTTTCTAATATGTTTCACACTCTGATCAACACGGCACGATGTCACATGATTGTACTCCACAATCTTCCTTGTGCGTCGAAACATACAATGAATATCCAATACAATGGAAAACAGTGAGGTTACAGGTGGCAAAACACAGGCGCTGACATACAGAAGCTTCTCACCCAGGGGAAGAGGCAGAATACAATATAACTGGGTAGTCATAACCAGAAACATCATGTGTCGTTTCACTCATTTGCCAAATGAGTAAGAAGGTTGGGTGTCTCTTGCGGGGCGGGGGGGGGAGCAGGGGGACGTTGTTCAGAATAGAAGGGGTCACAGGGGCAGTGAGAGAAAGCTCGTTGGAAGAGGTGAGACTTGAATCCAGCCTTTCCAGGTTGAAAACTAGAGCAAAGCAGGGGCAAAGGTGGATAGAGACGAGGAGAAGTGCAGATTGTAGCCAACAGAAAGCAGCAAAAGCCAAGGTGGGAACCATGAGCAGATTGAATTTGGTGGAGTGGAGGCTTATTCAGAGGACAAAGTCCAGGACCAGTTTTCGAGGGACTCGATACCTTTCCGAAGGTTAAACTTCACTTCGTAGGCAATGAGGAGACTTGCATGATCAGAATTAGAAGTAGCACATGCCACAGGCTAAGAGGCAACATGGGATGCCCACCCTTGCTTGCATAGTGGTGTCTTATAGGAGCTCTGACGAGCAGGAGCCCGGCAAAGGACAAATGTGCACAGTGAAGACGCTGCTACGACAGCAGGTGGCTTAAAACTCTTTTTATAGACAGGAACGTTGCAAACCTGCAAAATCAACGAGGGCAAATTTTATTGCCTTTAATTTATTTATGAGAGCTCAGAAAGATGAGTAATTTATTCAGGATCATGCAGCCAGACAGACGCTCCCAGTCTCCAAGTTCATATTCCCTCGCAGAGGTATATTTGCATATCAAGAGCTCATGGCAACAAATAAATCCTCATCTATACGCACGACCTCCACTTATGGATAATTCCTAGAGCGTTTTTCTTCCGAAATCGTAAAATGGGAATACCTGTTTTCTTCTGGCCCCAAATGTTCCTTTGGCTTCAGCTCTGAAAGACAACCCTGGAGGCTAACAAATGTCAGCAGAGAGTTACATTC